AACCAATAAATTAATACACCGTGACAGTCTTTTTTTTTATTTTTTTCAGAATAAGAAATAATTCGAAGAGCAGTTGCCTGTTTGTATATATAACCTGGTATCATTAGCTTTATTCTATCTTTCAATGTTTTAATTTTGTAGAATTGCTAAATTCAGAAAGGAAGCCAGTGTTCACAATTAGCTATGTATTGTAATAAAGCTTTTATATTAAGATTTGATTCATTGAATGCCGGTTAATGCTATATAAGACCACCTTGTTGTATTGTTGAAAGTCATAAAATGATTGTATATATTACATGTGTTGTATTATGCTCTCACTAGTTTTTTCATTTACATCAGTTAACCAATTTTATAACGTGCAGCTTTTTTAATATTTTTTTTGTGTAGTAGAGAGTGCGTTGTATATATACTTCAATAAGATAATTTTTGCCTTCCCTGTAATCTTTACCTCCAATACGCAAAAACTTCACATTTTGGTAAAGGCTTCGATGGATGGACAAAAGTCACCCAGTAAATTGTAGAAAACACTCATGCCAACGTGAAATTTTTTTTATATCTGTATTAAACAAAAGACATTATCTCTATATAACTGTGACACCTGTACACCAGTAAATACACCCATTCATAATTTAAACATGCTTATAATTTTCTATATTTCTATAAGTTACAGCAAATAAGTATAACTCGAAATTATTCTGGATATATTAACACAACAACGAGAAATGAAATAGCAATACGTGAAGCTAACAGTTAGATCGTTCGGCTTTCCCCTCTGTGTAATATTTTGATTCGTTAAAGTTTTTGTCGTTAATTATCTCGTTGATTAATCAGTGTGCACTTTTTTATTTCACAAAAACACTTTTCATCAAAATGAATTAAAGTCAATGTGCGTTTAACCATTGCTCGGTATACTATATGCAATGTGCATTGTTCACCATTTTTCAATTTTAAATGAATTGGTTAAAATAAATGTCACTAGAAATAAAGTTTAACTGCCTTTAAAATCTTACAAACCAGGATATGTGCGTTTATAAAATAAAACAAAAATGTAATAAAACAAGAGTATTGACGTTTGATGTATTTAGAATGGATCTGTTGCATTATATTCTTATTGTATATACTTGATGATGTTGATGGTGATGATGATGATGATGATGATGACGATGACGATGATGATGACGATGACGACGATGATGATGATATGATGACGGTGATGATGATGACGATGATGATGATATGATGATGCTGATGATGATATGATGATGATGATGATGATGATGATGATGATGATGATGATGATGATGATGATGATGATGATGATGATAAACTAGTCTTAAATTACCATATATTTCACTTTTAATATTTGTATACAATTCAGTAACCCATCACATGTATAAAATTTTAGATTTTAATAAGTGATTATTATACAAGCGACACCAGCGTGTATCATTTAAACGTGTGGTGTATGTCTTAATTAGCATCAACATCTCTTTGTGCTAAATTATTCTTTTTTTATTGAAGGATAATATCTTCAGCTTTCTTTTGTTATATTTTTTGGTTGTGAATGTATATGCTTACACAAAATATATACTTTATATCTTTATAGTCGCAGTGGTTGTTGTTGTTGTTGTTTTGGATTGTTGTATAAGTTTACATCCGTCAAGCATCGTCTTTTATCTTTAAATTTCATGTTGAAAATTCATTATTGTATTTTGAATACAAATCTAAAATTAACTCTGTGTTTCACTTCTATTATTTGTTATAATTGTATCTTGCTTTTAAAATGATTGTAGAGAATTCATGAAATGCAGGAGAAAATAAGCAATGCAGTTCCAATGTCCTTCTCTAATATCAAAACGATTTTAATTAATAAACTTATTATCAATATAAATGAAATTGTGAAATGTCTATTTGATTATATATTGATTTGGTAGCTTGATAAGTGAATGTACCTTCATGTAATTATCGAATGACTTTAGGACAAGCATAAAACGTGGCATGAAACAGCCACTGAGAAAATGATATAAATGAGGGGATGGGGCGGGTTGTGGCGTTGGGGGAGGAAAGTGGTCAGAACAGAAAGAAACATCAATGTCAGTGGACAATCTGTGAACGACTTAAAAAATAAAATTTGCAAGCACTGTTGCTCAACAAATCTAACAGTGAATACTTTTAGATTATAAGCTTCTATCATTTTCTGTTGAATGGACTGTTAATAAAGTTAGACAACATTTTTCATGTAAAATATATAATGTAAAATATTAAATGTAAGAGATATTTTGTGAAATTTGTATTATTCTAAATTTTTTCCATAATTAATTTCAAAAGCACTTATTTCATGTTTTATTACTCTATATATTCATGAAACAATAAATGTATAAAAATATTGTTCAATTGTACAATTGTTTTGATAATCATTATTATAAATCCAACCCTATCTTCACATATTGTCGTTTCTGATGTCTAAAAATAAAAAAAAATATAAGTATATCTGTCTGATATTTTTTGAACAATAATAATTATACATCTAATACCAGATTGAAATTTGTGTTGTTGTTGTTGTTGGCAATGATGATATTGTTGTTTTTACCTCATATTTTCTTGTGAAAAGTAACATGTGTTGGGGAAAATATGCGTTGGACTTTAATAAATATTTTGATCAGATATTTGACTTGAATTAAAATTAAATGATGAATGTTCAAAAAATAGACAATGTCATTTACTATAAACATTTAATATAAAATATATTTATTATTCTATTTAGTATGAACATATAAAGGTATTCGGTAAATGTATATCATGTATTAAAGAGGCTTGATAATTAATTCATGAACAAATAAGCCGTGTCACGACAAAACCAACGTAATGCGTTTGCGACCAGCATGGATCCAGACCAGCCTGCGAATCCGCGCAGTCTGATCAGGATCCATGCTGTTCTCTACTTGTAAAAGAGTTGGTAAGCGAACAGCATGGATCCTGATCAGACTGCGCGGATGCGCAGGCTGGTCTGGATCCATGCTGGTCGTAAACGCATTATGTTGGTTTTGTCGTGACGCGGCTCAAATAATTTCTAAAGACACTTTGAGGTGTAATACTATCCGAAACATTACAACACACGCATCAATGTAAAAATTATTGTATGAAATTTATTTAAAGAAATATCAATAATAAAATTAGAATAATTTCACATTCTTATCTGATTTTTCCCCCTAGAATACGGAGCTTGTTTGGATACATATATCATTTTATATACTCTGAAATTATTATATTAAATATTTAAAGTAAAGATAATTGAGATTTCTTCAGTATCGTACATCATCAAGGTCCATTGTCAGTATTTAATTATTCTTGTTATTATAAAGTCAATAGTTGATAGAAATGTACCCAAATAAAAAAAAATAATAAAACACAAAAAAGCACCCCAAAGATTTCCATTTTTTTATGTTGTTTATTATATTTTCCCGCTTGATATTTCTATTTCTTAAAATGATGGACAGTCTTTGTCTATTCTTACTTCACATCATGGTAAAATTTTCACACGACAAAAATGATGGGTCTGGATATTATATTGACAAGTTATTGACGTTGTAGAATATATGTGTGTATTGTGAACATGTATAGTGTATTACCGCCGCGGGTATCCAATGGTGTCAGTTGGACAGACGAGATCCCTAATCCGTTATCTTATCTGGGTACATCATGACACCTAACTGTCACACTAGTTGTGTATTCCGTAACAGATCTATTATGTCGTCTGCTAATGAGAATTGGCACAACTTGTGTATGTTTAACATTCCTTTTGTTTAGAAAAATGTCGTCTGCTGTGGTACTTTGCTGGTTTTTGTTGCAGTAAAAGAATATTTTTTACATGCTACATGAAGCACGCCTTAATAATAAAATCAGTCATAAGTGTTTAGCTTATTTTAGTGTATGAACATGATTTTTGGCCGGGGAGTGGGGCTGACAAAAATTCATCCTATCTACAGTCACAAAATGTTGTTCTATTTTGTAAAATGTAAGTAATCGCAATGATAAAAACCTAGTAGGACTAATTTTCAGTTAAAGTGATACAATCTGCAATCAGCAGAGGAATATTTGAGCCGTGTCACGACAAAACCAACATAATGGGTTTGCGACCAGCATGGATCCAGACCAGCCTGCGCATCCGCGCAGTCTGATCAGGATCCATGCTGTTCGCTATCAGTTTCTCTACTTGTAATAGGGTTTGTAAGCGAACAGCATGGGTCCTGATCATACTACGCGGATGCGCAGGCTGGTCTGGATCCATGCTGGTCGCAAACCAACTATGTTGGTTTTGTCGTGACACGGCTCATTTATTAACCCTTAACCTGCAGGTACTGATGTGGTAGCCAGCCCGCATAGCTCAATCGGTTAGAGCGCGAGACTTGTAATCTCGACATTGTGGGTTCGATTCCCGGGCTGGCCAACTAAAATTACTAATCAGTCTTTCGGATGAGACTTTAAATCGAGGTCCCGTGTATGGGTGCTTAAACACTTGGCACGCTAAAGAACCAGGAGAAGCTTCTGGAATTGGGGCATCTTTCTGTATCTGTAATTGCACTATCCTCCGAAAAATAAAATGACTAATACTCTTCTGGAGGGCTCGCCCATATGGGCAACCGGTGGCGAGTATAAATAAACGCAAATACACACAAAGTACTGATGTGATAAACCTCTTCTACTAGTACCAGATCCAGCTTGCCTGCACGCCCATGCAGTCTGACCAGGCTTTGTCGTTTTCTCGTTATTTTGTCATTTGAATATTGAACTTCACATAAAGATCTATATCTCTGTGAATGTCTATTGTTACTCAAAATAAAGATATTAAAAATAAAATCGATTTTCCTTTTTTTCTTTTGATATTATAGGTTAAAGCATTTCATTTCTAGTATGTACAAGATATTACTCTTTTCTCAAAGCGTATTCCCAAGGACCTGTTTGGACATTTTCTATATATAAATATATACAATAAATGCAAGTTATAAAGTTCATTTCTTTATTATATCCACATATACTGAATGGCAACTATTTTAAAACAATATAAAATTAACCAAGCGTGTTCTCAGTGAATGTTCATAAAATAAGAAATACACAGACATGTTTAAAATATGCACACAAACAATGGAGAGAGAGTATCAAAAACTGAGCAATTTAAAAAATCTCCCTCCAAACAGCTCTCCTAATAATGATTACAAATCTCACTGAAATGACCTTTCATATATATATATATAAAAAACATGAAGATTTTTTTTCTCTTTTTTTTTCTGTTAAAAAATAATGGAAATTAAAAATAATCTTAAAATCTTATGTAATGGAAGAAATTTGAATAGATTTGTAAGTCTGTTATTTATTAAGTTATGCTGCCCCTCCCCCTTCAATTTACAACAGCAACTTTAAGGATCGTAGAATGGCATAAAAAAGCTAAACTCATGAGAAAATAATAATAAAAATAACGTAAAGAGATAATGTAATGTATAAGTTACGGATCGACTTTTATGTTCTGATCTGTTCATTTTGACGAGCAATATGATAGAAATTTAGAAATAACAGAAATAAATAAATTGTTAGAGTTTCAGAAAGTTCTTGAGCTAGGTATATTATTGTTAAAGTAAGGGGGAAAATAATACTACATTATACAAAATATTTAATTATTGCATCGCAAATTTTAAACATTGTTTCTATTATTCTTTATTGTAAGACATTATTTTAAAATAAAAATAGAAGTTTAATTCAATACATCTGAAAAACAACGGACGAATAAAACATGGCACTAAACATTCTCGAATGATAAATAATAAAATCGAATAATAAACATCTACATGTACAAAATTTGTAAATAAATAATAATAATAATTAATAATAATAAAACGTTCCAGACCCTTCTTTTCGAAATAAAAGAAATGAGCCTTGTTTAAACGTGTTAAATATTCAAATATTATTTTACAATTATTCTCGTAAGTAATTCAAATGCGTGTTAAAAAAAACAGAGATAATAAAGTTAAAGAGCACACTTTATTATATCTTATATAAATAAAGATTTTATTATGTTTATACTCTCTTTTCTGTGAGGAAAACATAAAGTTCTCTATGCAAAAAAACGTGAAACTAATATATATTAATTATTTTTAATTTGTAGGATTAAATTTAATTTTTACGGTTTCTTTAAAAATAATTTAACTGATTAAAACATTTTTCCTTAGTTCATCATTTTTGTACCCAGGTATGAAATAATGGGATAGATTAAATATATATATAAAACATAGCTAAACACGGAAATAAATTGTTGTTTTTTATGACGGAAACTAAGGCAATAAATCTTTGTTTAGATGTAGGGACTAAGTTATATATAAACTTCTCTATGAATTACTGTACAACGGAAAAGTAATTAAACGATTATGCCCTAATTTTTCATCATTATTCTCTACCTACTTATTTCTGCAATTTACTATATAACTTGTATGAAACTTTCCTAATTAATTCATCATTCTTACCGTCAAACTGGGAAAGTTATATACACTGCTATAAACTGTATGTTTGTAAATTATAAAGTACATTTAACGCAGATCTTTATATAATAAAACGTTCTTTGCATTCGTAGTAAGCTTTAACAATTTTTTGCCATGACTTGCATTTGAAAAAAATAATAATAAAAAACAGCGCATTTGAGACACCGCTGTTTCATATCAAGTCAAGAGAAGAAAAAAACAAGCCTGATCTGAAGGAAAAAATAGCAAAAATTAAATGACGTATTAAAGTTGACATCGCAAAACCATCACTTTAAATCAATCTTATACAGCGATATAAAAACAAACTAGAGTTATGATGTTGCTGTGTTGCTCGCAGGTTGTTGCAAATACACCTAAGTCAACGTGCAATAGTTTCGCTTTTATTTCTTTCAATAAAAGAGAAAATAAATCATCTTTTTTTCTACTAAAATATTGAAAATTTGCAAAAATTCCTTGGCTTTTATAATCAAATAAATAACAATATGCATTATCAAATTGAGTAAAAAAAAATCTTGAAAAAAAATCATTCATAAATATCTTATTAGCACATACATACAACAATGGCTCATAAATATATTATATTTTTTTCTTTTACACATATTATTTTATCCTAGACTAGTGGCTCTCACAGATTGTTCATAGTGTCCTTTCAAAAAAAAAATAATATTAAAATTTACCTTTACTTTACATAAATGAAAGTAATGTTATATTCAATTTAGACCCTGAATTTTAAAGAACGTAAACGTGTTTTCTTAAAGCGAAATTTAATTTCGAGTATGGAAAGTAAAACTAACCATAGAGTGTTTGGTTGAACTAACTATATTTCTCATATATAGTTTAGCTCAGCTGCTAGACGTGGGGTAAGCTTCACTGCACAATCTAGAGTTTCAAAATAACCCTTTTGTTATCTATAAAATTAATTTAAACTTGAAACTTTTGATATGAGCGCGTTTACTTTAAATCACAGTAATTTGCCCAGGTGATACATATACCTAACGTACCAGTAATCTTATTACAATTTCAACGCTTTCCCAAACCATAAAATAGATCGCAAAAATATACACATTTAGAAAAAAATACGCTCGAGTTTTCAATCTGTTTTTATTCTATAAATTACTATCATCAATGATAAAATTTCATACACTCTAACGCGTGGCCGGCGATTTAATAAATTTTAACGGGGATAACAAAATATCAGTGTCCATTAGGCGCATATGTGACACTGTAACGCTATAAAATTGATATAAATTAAATCAAGGCGTATTTCTGATACACTTCAAAACTCCGAGAAGCGAGACACCCCGACAGATGCTGGGCCTCAGTTGCTGATAATTAAGTAATCAAGAAATCTAAACATCTTGGCAGAGAAAAATTACTACGCACAAATCATAGCTATTAATTCTGCATGCAGAAATTTCGATTCTAAGGACAGAAGATAAGTTTAATCGCTGTTAAAAATATTATTTTGATATTTCAATATAACAAAAACATAAGTGATTTTTTTTTATGAAAAAAAAAACTTTTTTCAAGAAGGAAGAAAATACGTTGCAAACAATCCTAGCTGGAAATGAAATTTGAACAGAAAGAACATGTACTGTAAAACTTGTCTAAGGCAAAATATTAAATCACTTTTACAATGTTTGTTAAGTACACTAGACTTACTAACTTGCATTTTCCCGTTCATTTACATTCATTTTTCCACATTTTAATAATAAATTACAAAACTATAACCACCAAAACTGACCGTCTGCTTTAACGTCATTGACGTCACTTCACTATCGGATCCAATCCGCAGCGTCCGTTCTTCTTCTGAGAATCACAGGTTCACTGTTTTGACGCTATCCATTGCTTAGAATAAAGACGTCACCTGAAAAAGTTTAGTTCTCTAACATTTCTGACGTCATGATGTCAATGTCCCGGGGGTTGCTGATAGTGATGGTGTGAGACGGGCGACTGGAGGTGTGACATTGACATTGATACGATGTGACCCCCGCTACTCGGGGGCATCGAGTTATGAGAAGATAAGGACGCCAGGGAGGGCATACCCATACCACCGAGATTTAAAACCCCTGGTTCACCGGAGCCCCCACCCTGCTGAATGGGGCTACAAGAGTCAGTGTTAATATTGCCCATTTTCATATCATGTCTTTGAGGTGGCGAGTTATCATTTTGCTCACCATCTGACATTCCTAAAAGCTCTCCATTTGGACCCAACTGAGCAGCTGGGGTCATGCGTTTTTCCTTTTGGCGCCTATTACAAAACCAAACACGAACTACTTCTTTCTCGAGCTGTAGAGAGTCCGCTAACTGGGATATTTCCTGTGCCTGAGGCTTGGGCTGTTTGAGGAAGTGGCTCTCCAGAGCACCCTTAACAGTCACTTCAATACTTGTTCGCTTTTTGCGTTTTCGGCCTTGTGCGGCTATTTTGTCTATACTAGTAGTTGACCCTGTCGAATTGTCTGCTTCCTCAAGCCACTTTTGAAGTAGGGGTTTCAACTTACACATATTCTTAAAACTAAGCTGTAACGCCTCAAATCTACAGATAGTTGTTTGACTAAAAACATTACCGTAAAGAGTTCCAAGTGCTAATCCTACATCCGCCTGGGTAAATCCTAACTTTATTCTTCTCTGTTTAAATTGTTTAGCAAACACTTCTAAATCATCCGAAGACGGGGCGTCCTCATCCGACGGAGTATGGGGACCCCCGTCAAGATCCGAGGGGTCATGATCCCTGAGTGACGGGTGGATCTGATGAGCAGGTGAGAGCATGCCATTCATGCCAGGAAGACCGTATCCCGGGTGCTGGAGCTGATGACCGTTACCGTTGAGATTTAGGTGTGATGGTGTGACCGGGGAGTGCCAGCCTTGTGGAGAATGCATGTGCTGCGGCGGTCGATGGTGTAACGTACTCCCTGGGTTCGTCAAATCTTGGTTCTGTAGACCAGGTTTAATGTCCCTCATATCAGGATGTGGGTTGTGTAAGTGCGAACCCATTCCACCGTTGGACCACGGGCCCATATCTGAAGGAATAGAACTCCACGGATTGTGAGCATAGTGATTTAAATGTCCATGCCCGTTTTGATGGTGCTGAGGTGGCATGTATTTCATTTCACCGAAGTCTCTATGAATGTAAGGCATTGATTGCGATGCCGGGTAATTAAAATCAACAGGAGATCCACTATGTCCTGTTGGAGAGCTCGAACCTAGGTACAATCCCGAACTAGATGCCGCAGTCATCGCCATGTTGTGTTCCGGGTTGTCTCTACTCACATCCGTGCCTTGGAGAATCATTTACTCTGTTCTTAAATCACCGATCACTATTATTGAGAAGTTTTTTCCCTGATATTTAACTACTTCATTACCAACACAAACAATATTCACTCACTTATGTATACAGTCAATAGAGTCTTGACTTGCAAAATTTTCACTTCACGATCCATACACTAATTCATGTACACTGAGAAAGTTTTCCGACTTTAACTGTGAGACAACTAACGTCATTATGATAGATGTCACCAGCAGCCCTAATGCGATTGGCCAATCCGATTATGATTGACATGCGCAGTAGTGTATCGAAGGCGGTGACACTTAGCACAAGCACGCCTATTGGTTAAATGACAAAAACCCAGACGCTCGTAAAGAGTTTAACGAAATTGGGGGAGAAAGGTCTGGAAATTTGTAGTTACTTCAAATCTCACTTACGCATTTTATTCCATTGTAAACACTGGTCTATTTACCCTAATATTACTGCTATTCAAACAGCCCGGACAAATATCTTGATATCTATATCCTATTTATTGAATAAAGGCCCTGTAAATTGTCTATGTATTGTTGATATTTTGCTATTAGATTTCTGGACTGTTTTCTTTTTTTTTTAACAGAAGATTATCGGACTTTTCGTAGGAGACTTTAAGTTAAAGACACGTCCAACTACAGACTGGTAAGAACGAATTTTCTGTTGTTATAAAAAAAATGCACTTAGACAGATTTCTCAAACATGCATTTGGAAAATATTGAAATACATCATTTTATTTCCTTTGCTATTATGAAACAACAATGAAACAACAATACATGGAACTGCAAGAGAGTCTATAAACTTTTTATTCCGTCTAATTACGGTGCATGTCCTTAGTTAACTTTAGATAGCACATTAATTAAACAAACGTTATATTTAAATTAAAAGTGTTAATATGACATCAGTTTTATACAGGGAGAATTTAACAGTTCACGAGAGTTAAGAACAAATTTTGCAAGTATAAAACAATAAATCATATTATATTATTATTCCATGTTTTACCAGCGCAAATTAATCATAAACGTATAATTTTCTGAGGATTATTTTAGCACTACGCCGTGCCGTGAGCGCCGCAAGAATTAAATATGCATTTATTTAAGAGTTAGATGAAGATGTTTCAAAACTTACTTAACAATTCTAAAGTCCCTGACAAGGTATTTGTAACTTAGAAGTTAAAAACATGTATTTTACAATACCAATTTATAGGAAAGAGAAACTATTTCTTTCATGATATTCAAATTATGTAAACTTATAGTCGATTTAAGAAAGTTTACAAACTGCAGAGTAAAGGCTCTACATAATGCTTTTATAGTTAGCACGGTTTCAAAAATGAATAATTAGGCATATTTTATATGAATGAAAAATTGGAATTGAATAATTAATTCAGTTAGTTTGTTATGGGGTAATATAGTAATCACTTAAATAATATACATATATTTGATACGGGGTCTCCTATACATAACTTGAGATTTTTTATTGCCACTTCACACTTTCATACACAAAGACGAAGATAGAAGAAGAATAAAATAGAGTTTAGATTAAATATGTTGAAATTCGTTGCAAGTAAGCTACAGCCGAATTATTTAAGTATTGAACGGTTATTTTTGCATCCGATATCTATCAAGTTCTTAAATTTTTGAAATCAGGGAAAATGTACAGGATTCGGTAATAAGCAAAATCGAGTTCCTTATTATACTTCGTGTTTATCAAATGTCCATCCGTCCGTCAATAACTTAGTTTGCATATTTTACCTTTAACGAGCGGTTAAGACCCGTCCTGATCTGGAAAACGGGTCGTGTCAGAAATAAAAAGCATTTTTTTCCACGTTTTAAGAAATGTGCAAAATATTTAACCATTGATTTCTTCCTATATATATTTGACTTTACATAATTTTGGAACCTACTTTATGATCAAATTTTAACTCCTAAAAATGCTGTAGTCATTAAAAAAACAAAGTCTAAAGAATAAAACAACAACAACATCAATGACATAATAACAATAGCGTGGACAAAATTAGCAGAACATTTTCAATGATTAATGGAAATTTAAATGCATCATCCCAAATAAACTAAATTTGATAAAAAAGTAAACAAAAAGACGGCCTCTGCGGGAGAACGCCTCTGGATCTCGCGCCTTCTTAAATTACAACCAAATCATATCGATCACGGTTTTTGTTGATGTCAAATTTTAAATACCTACCTTAAGCTTCCTATGGTGAAATTCTATACCTTACCAGTCTGCAAAATGCACATAAAAGGAAGTAATTTAAGTCTTATATAAATCGATACATTTATCAACTCCTTTGAATCAAGTTTTAAAAGTAATTATCGCAGATCTTTCATTAAATATCTCCTTAATTGGATTTATTTTGATGTTCTATTTTTACTAGGTATATCAAAGTTTTGTATAGCAATAAGCAATGATGGAGGGCTTTAAAATAACCCTAGTTGACCTATCTGTAATGGGTTTATTGTCATTAATCATAAAACGACGATTATTGTCTCCCGTAAATAAGTTTGCTATTTTTTCTGATCAGAGAAATAACTAAAGGGGGTATTTGGATGGCCTGTCTCTCTGGAAAGAAGTATCGAGAGCAAGAATAGAAAAATCTTCTCCGAAATATCATATATATATATGGTTCATTAAAGTTATTTGCTAATAGGGCTGTCATTGAATATCGCATTATCTATATTTCACCGATATTCATCATCCGATACAATATCGACACTCACTTTCAAATATCGAGAAAAGCTTAAAAAAATATTTCTGTTCGTGAAATTCCTGTTTTCTTGGCTCACTTAAACTTTAAACTCTGTTTTCAAATGCCAGTGACAAAAATAACAGGGAAAAAAAACCTTTCTGTTTGTTTGTAGTAAAATTTGGTTCTTTCAAAAACTGCCCGTATTATCGGATTGGTCGTATTTTCGGACCGGTCGCTAAGCGGAACTTTACTGTATCTGTAATGTCTAATACAAGCATGCATAATACCATGATCCCAATAAATAACACATATTTAAATGTTTTTCATTGTATCTACTGTCAAAGCCGATATATCGTCGCTATTATGTCTCTCGATATATCGATACAAAATTTTCTATCAATGGCAGCCCTATTTGCTAAGCTATGCAATAAATTACCTTCATCAGAGTTGTATATTCATTTACAATATTTTTTATAGAAAAATCTAGACACAAAGGTGGTTCTACCATTTTTGCGAAGGTCCGAGGTACCAATCAACACGAGGATGGTTGTACACTCGTTTGTTGAGGCCAAGGTATTAATGAATACGGGGGGGGGGGGATTTTTCACTCTTAGTATCGATGAGCACGAGGATGATTGTCGATACTTTGCCTTAGGCCGAGGTATCAATCAACACGAGTATGACTATATATTTCTTTGTTAGTTGCCGAGGCATCATTCAACACAAGTTAGAATCTATACTCCTTTGCCAGAGATTGAGGTATCAATGAACTTCATGATAATTGTACACATCTTTTTCAAAGACCGAGGTATCAACGAAAAAAAAGGGTGACTATATATTTCTTTTTCAAAAACTTAGATATCAATAAACAGTATGGTGATTGTATACTCCTTTGTAAGAGGGCGATCTATCAATAAACGTGAGTGTGATTGTAAAGTCCTTTGTCGGATGGATGCCGTGATATCAATGGATACGAGAGTTATTGTACAATCCTCTACCACAGGCTGAGATATCAATGAACATTAGAATGGTTGCAGACTTTTTTGTCAGATGCCAGACGACTAGGATGATTGTACTCGACTTTGTCAGAGCCCGAGGTTTCGTTGGACACAAGTATGATTGTACGATAGTTTGTCAGTGGAGAAGGTATCAATTTACTCGAAGGTAATTGTAAACACTCAGATCGTTACGTATACATTACTTTAACAGATGCCCTGCAATAACGAACATGAAAGTTACACTATTGGTACTTTGACAGATATCCGACAACAACGAACATGAGGGTGAATGTACACTATTGGTACTTTGACAGATATCCGACAACAACGAACATGAAAGTTATTGTACACTATTGGTACTTTGACAGATGTCCGGCATCATTGAACACTAAGATGGCTGTATACTCCTTTGTCAGAAGTGCGATATATATTAAGACACACATTCAGACATGATGAGCTTGAATGTGTAACCTTTCTTGTATTATCTCGAATATCTGTACTATAAAGTTATAACACATTTTAGCTTGCCTGTGAGTAAAGCTTCCTCTTTAAACCATTTTCAATCAGTGAAATGTGTACCGTGGATTCCGACAATGTCAGTACTAGACATGGTTAAAGTGACATTATGCTCATTTTTCATCGACTAAATCTATATTCAAAATGTAGTATACTAGTATATGGTGTTTGACCAACAGGTGATATTTGAAAATGTTTAGAATAAAATATAGCTCTGCATAAAATATAAAAAAGGCTGTCCCAGTCTTTTTGTATATTGAACGTTACAGGAAAAGTTCGGTGGACATTTACCGAAATTTCCTTGGGTCACATGAGTAACTAGTTTATCGTTTATGCGAAGTAAACAATTATAAAATTGAGAGAAATTATGGCAAAATGTTAACTGATTTTGACTCACATCTGTTTACTCACTATATACCCTTAGATGGGTATATTAACACTTTAACGTGGTCGGAGCTCAAGTAGAGCGGCAGGTCACAGAAAATACAAGACTGTTTCTGTCAGTATACAACGAGATTACAAAACTATAAAACATCTTTGTACGAAAGTGCGCAATCTACTTACATTTAAATAAGCAAAGTCCTATATTCTTACAAACGCATCAGAAATACCTCGAGAACAATAATCATATTTTATGATTCTAACTGATTTGGCCACACAATTATTGAATGAACGTGTCTGTTTTTGTTGCCCTCATGAGACGGAACATTATAGTGCACTAAAATAAACATAATTTGTAAGAGATATTTCAAAAACATATGTAATCATTATTCCAAAATCGACCTCTTAATTGACAAGTGCAAATATCAACTGTCTTAGTTCTATTACAAACTTCACGAAATATTTTAATAGGTAATATATCATCACAAACGCATATAAAACCTATAGATATATTTAGTAACGTAATGAACATCAAAGTAAATTTGACAGAAATTTCAGTGCAAAGGTCAATAGTGATACAATGTCAAGGCTCTTTAAT